GGGTTCAGTGGGCTTTAGCGATTGAGGTGCCCTGAAGCTAATTTTGTTCAGGGGGCGGTTTGCTGACAGACACCACTAAATTGGGTCATGCAATCGGGGGTTTTCTGGGAATAATTAATTGCGAAAAACTGCTCTCTTTCTCAAAAGTAAATGGTCTTGTATTTTTTTTCGTGCTGCAATGGTTCGTGAAGCCGTCATTCAATCTTGAAAATCACCAAATTCCGGAACGCATGTAGTTGTTTTGAGCACCGGGAATTCGGAACCTCAGGGCCGATGGACGTTGGTTTGGCCGGGCTTGACGTTGGATTAGCCGAGATTACGGGGCCGATTTCCCCCGTCGCCTCACCGCCAGACCCCACCCGCCGTCACCGTGGCAGCCAGCAATGTAAATAGTTCTATGAGGGGAAAATGTATTTGAACACGACGTTTCCGATGTAGTGGAGACAAAATTCACAAGCGGGGCTGATCACCATTAACGATGCCTACTAGGTCCACGCAAGTTCAGCTGTCAGATAGCGCAAGTCAGGAATTGCCTGAGCCCATCCCACATTAGGTAATCCGACTTGAAGCAAACAGCCGTGAGTCCGTGACAGCATGGATCATGTCGAACGATGGTGGGGTTGGAGATTCCCTGTCCCTGTCAATGGGAATCTCAAACCGACACCCGCTCGCCGCAGCAGCCCCAGGAAACGCAGGTCCAACCGTCCAGGATGGACCCCTGTGCTAAGCCCCAATGGCCCCGTTTAGCTGAGCTGGACAACGAGGCGGGCAAGCGGGCCATCACCACGGCGCAAGTAAACATGGCCCCAGTGAGTCAATTAAGGTAAACCTCTGGGAACTTTGCTGTCCCATCTCCTCTTTCGCCTTTTCAACTTTCCTTTGTTCCAGCTCCCGTCGTCGCTTGTCTGTCGCAGTCGCAGTCGCAGTCGCAATCACAATCGCTGTGTCTCTCGTTCTTCCGCCTCCCCCGCACCTCTCCCCCGCGAAACATGGCCGATTCCCCGAGCCGCTCCGGCAGCCTCCGAGTCCGCCGAACCCGCGGCGGACCCTCGCGAAACTCCTCCGCTCGCTCCTCGGCCGCATGGGAGGACTACTCCTACCTTCACCCCTCAGGCAGCTACCAGCAGCAGCTACCGCAGCATGCGCAACAACAGCTTCCCCACGCCCTGCGATCGGCATCGTCGCGATTCTCCCTAAACGAACAATTCGCCGCCACGCGACAAGAATACGAGTTCGGCGACGACGACGCCTCCTCCATCCTCGAGCGTATGACGCTCGCCTCCGACGTCGGCGACGAGAGCACAATTGCCGTGAGCACGGGCGGCGGCGATGCGACGCAAGACATCGATGGCGCCGAGGGCGACTACTACGACTTGCTGTGCCTGGCCAAGGACCCGACGCTGACGCCGGATCAAATACGGCGGGCGTACCACCGGCTGCTGCTGTACCTGCACAGGGATGGCTTGCCCGAGAACCTGCACGGCGTCGCGCAGCCGTACTTCAACCAGGTGCAGAGAGGGTTCGAGACGCTGATTGACCCGTACCGACGGGCGCTGTACGACGCGAGCCGGTTGCGGGTCGTGACGAGTGCGCTCGACGTGCCTCTTGACGAGGACTACCGATATGCGTACGATATGTCGCTCAAGGAGCAGCTGCGGCAGCGCGCGGCCGACGTGATGCAGACGTCGTCGGATCTGGGCATCCGGTTCGATGCGACCAAGGCGCTCCGGCGGGGGTCTGCCGTGACACCTCTCGACTTTACACTGAGTCACTCTGTGACCGTTGGCCTGCCGGTGCTGGGGCGGTGGATTGAGAGAACGGCGGCACCGAAGGCGCAGCGCGTCTCGTCTACGTCGAAGCGGGTGCCTTCGATTGCGCTCAACGAGAGCGACGAAGCTGGTGTTGACCAGCCCCGGGAGTCTATGATCTATCTCCCGCCTCCGCAGGTGACGTTGACCGGATCTGTGTACGGCATCGTAGAGGAGATCTACCGGGTCCCGTTACCACTTTTAGCCGATCGATACCAACCATTACTACCTCTGACTATTCCCCGGAAACGAATCATCCAGCTGGCAGAGCAGCGCCCGTGTCCCCTCATCAGCCTCAAATTCCGACAGGATATCATCCACAGGACAGCTGAAGACCGCATCGCAAAGACATCGATTGAAGTAGAAACAGAGGCTCTCCCAGAGGCATCTCTAACAGCTAAAATCTCACACCCAATTCACCTACCAAACGCCCCCTATCCGATAGTACTCGAGGGAAGCATAAAATCAAGCCGACCATGGACGCAATCCGCCCCCCGCATCGGCCTGGGGATCCACCGCTGGACGGGCGCCGGCACCGCGTACGCAATCGCAGACAGCGGCGACTGGAGCGTCTGGCCCGGTGAGACCATCAAGCTCTTCACCGACTTCTCGCAAGTGAGCAAGAACCAACTCCTCGCCGAGTTCCCCATGAAGACATCCGCGAGCTTCGAAGTGGGGTACACCACCTCGCCCGAGCGCGTCCCGTCCACAGCCCACGAGGATTCCCCGCGCGGGGAGTGCGGTATCCGAGGGCTAGACCACGAATCGACAATCGCCAACGACGGCTCGTGGACCGTATCCGCCTCTTTGACGGCAGATACCATTGGCGGCTACCTCCGCTACGGCAAAGACCTGCCGGCACTCCTCTCGGCATCTAGCTCGAACCCCACCGCCCCGACCAGACTCGAACTCGAACTCTGCACAAACACCCTCCTCGACCGCCACCTCGCCCTTCGCAACCTCTGGCCTGTAGGCCGCTTCTCCAAACTCGGCCTCGAGCTCGGCGTCAGTCTGCACAGTCTGCACCTCTCCCTCTACTGGTCCCGCCTCAGCCAGCGCCTCAGCATCCCGCTGCTCCTATCTCCGCGCGCCGAGTACACGCCCACCGTCTTCTTCTACGCGGCTGCCGTGCCTTTACTCGCGTTCGCCGCGCGGCACTTTTACTCGTCGTACTCTGCTTCATCGGGGCGGGCAAAGCGCACTCGCGGGGGCCACCTTGGCGAGGCAGATCTGCAAGCCTACATCGCCCGCAAGCGGGCTGCGGCGGACGACATCGCCGTCGTGCTTTCGGGCGCCGTGGAGGCGCGGCAGCGCGTGGAGCGGCAGCGGGGAGGACTCGTGATTCTCAGCGCGAAATTCGGCGTCAGGGGTGAGGGTCAGGTTGGCGACGGGGAGGGCGAGGGCGATGGCGATGGCGACTCAGACTGCTGGGCCGCAGAAGAAGTCGCAGACGTCACCATCGCAGTAGCAGCGCTGGTGGAGGACGGGAGGCTGCGGATCCCGGCCGGGGTGAGAAAGGCCTCGCTGCTGGGATTCTGGGATCCGGCGCCGCTAAGGCGGAAAGCGCTCCACGTGAGGTATCTGTGGCGCGGGAGGGAGAGTACCCTCGAAGTCGCGGGGCGGGATGAACTGGTTCTCCCGCCTGTGAAGAGGGATTTATCGTGATGTTTCTGGCATTTTGTTAACTTCTTTTTATGGATGTGATGTATGATGGCATGTGCGAGATGATCGATGCAGCATTAGTGGAGTCGGGGAAAATGGGGAAAACCTCAACGGGTGGGGTTTTTGCATGGGGGTGGTGTTTTTTTTGAAGATTTGTAGCAAAACTTTGACTACTTTCCACCCGGAAACGAACATTCAGTATCTTAATGTCGTTGAGGGCGCTGAAAGATGCTTTCAGCTCCTTTGTAATATAGCTTCTAGTGTGAACAAAACTGCCATACGCCGTAAGCGGGAGTAAATCACTGCCTCAGGTCTAGTCAGTAAACAACAAGCTCCCTCAAATGAGGGGAAGAAATCTCATTCCTTCAAGCTTTCGATCAATTGAGCAAACGAGGCGGCCATCACAGCCGTTCTGCCACATTCTCCACAAAAGACGGAATGCCTTACGGGTTACGGACATTTAAGCATCCGTTCGCGAAAGTGAACTGCTCCGTGTAATGGTCATGAAGCTCATTTGGAGAACCCCACACTGAGCAGCCTCACACACTTTCGGACGAACGTCTCGGAATACGACCAAGCTCCGGTCCATGCGGAAGCTCCGTCATAGCCTTTACACCTAGGGCGCACGCGCGTTGCACCAGAGAGGATTGCAACATTAAAGTGTGCGTCGCTCGTAGCAGGAAGCAGAATCACCCCCGCCGCTAGGCTATTATTTGAAGTGGGACCCAGGGGACAGAGTTGTCAACTGAGTCAAGTTGCCAATCAACCTAAGTTCCCGCGTGTCACCATTCATCGGTCGCGCCGCCAATTAAGGTTTCTCTAGCTCTTCATCAGGTTACCGGCCCGGTGGTAGGTGGCGCCAAATATAGTCCTATGCTGTCTCGTCTATAGCAACACCAGGAAGCTTGCAATTCCAACAAAGTGGGAATACATTTCGCACTCCAAAGTCTAAATTTCCTATCCAAGTTTTCGTATAGCGTCGCATCTGACTGACGGCTTTAGAACCGTCTTTTGGCCTGGTTAATGTGCTCGATTGCTGCTAGACTAAATACTCAGCAATTGACACTTCGTATTAACTACTAATTGACATTGATCCACGTGTGCTTTGTCTCAAATTTGGCTCTCATTGTCTCATGTTGTCGCCTTTAACTGCCATCGGCAACCAGGTTTTGCGCTCTTGAGATGATGAATTCCGCAGTCAGCGGCTCAAACAACGTCCCACCAAAGTCCGCACTGACTCGCTCTCGACATTGAGGATAGTCACTTAATTTGCAACACTTTCAGAAGCGCACGACTAATCAACCCCGAATCTACTGGGTAAATTGTAATGAGCCTTGCAAGTGAATGCAGCAACGATCCCCACAACACGATAGTATTAATTCTCAATCGTATATATACCACCATATTTGACAACTCATCCCACCGGCTCATCACCACACTCTTTACCCCATCTTTCTCTTTTACCAACACGACGTACTAACTACTGCATCCACTCATTTGATCCACTCTTTTCCAACCTCAAAATTCACAATGCTCCAATCATCATTCGCCGTCGCCTTCCTGGCCCTCGCCGCCATCCCCGGCACCCTCGCCGGCTGGAACGGCCACGCCACCACCCCGGCCACAAAGTGCTACAGGAACGAGATCTCGGGCTGCGCATCCGGACGCTGCCTCAACGGGTATGAAATGACAAGTCTCCAAGCCATAGCTCACACTCAGGTCAACATAGCTGTCGCTCAGTCCCGCTAACCTGCTCTCACGTCTTAACAGTAACTGCGTCCGAAGCTGCGCCGCCGGCGAAGAGCAGGGCTGCCCTACGCTCTGCAAGAAGCTCGCCATGCCGGAGGGCTGGTGTGCGGCAAAGTAAGTTTGCTACAGAGTCTACAAAGTGACACGCGGGCTTTGTCTGCGCTCTGCTTGTGTAGAAATCGAAAAAAAGAGTTCAAAGTGGCTAATCATGAGTTTTTTTTCTTGTTCTTCAGCAACTCTGGTGCTTGCTGGTGCACCCGCGACGACACCAAGAGCTTCATCGACGCCGATCGCCCCGTTGATAAGAGAGATGAGATCAAGACCTACCGCGAGACCAAAGCTTGAGGTGCAATAGTGGATTCGTGGTGACTAGGGTGGGACGTTCTCATCAATGATGGAGGGCGTCGAAATGCGCGCCTTTGGCTAGGGTTTGGGTTTGGGTTCTGAGATTTGGGGTTAAGCGTCCAGGCTCGCCATTGAGAGACTCAACATGAAAAAACCGAGACATGAAGAGCGACGGCGGCTAGTGGAGACTAGTATGCCACGTCTTCCAATCACAGACCTAACTCAGATTAGTAATAAATTATTCAGCTCAGGACATCCAAGACATGGCACTTTGTCAAGATTTCAGGTGACTGAAACTGAAATGCTTCCAACGTACTGTATAGCTACCTTGCTGTAGGTCTAACGGTCGCGCGAATCTGATTGGCTCACTACGTCTCGGTGTTTTATACTACTGTGTAAAGCACACTACAAAAAGATGGTTCAAGTTCGAAAATACCGAACAGAATGAATTTTACACAAAATCAATGCAGACGCCCAACGAACACGCACAATCAAACCTCCTGCAACGTAGTCGCTCCAATAGGCGCACCACTCTTGGGAGTCAAAAAGCTACTCCCCACAACTTTCCCACCCGCGCCCCGAGGCCCCTTCAAAACCGACGCATCAACGCTCACAAAAGACGCATTCGTCCACGTCGTCCCATCATTCCACGAATTCCCCGTCGCCGTGACAGTACTCACCAAACTCACCTGCGCACTCCCCGAAGCCCCATTCACAGCCGCGACATTCCCCCGCATAACCGAAGACGAACTCCGCATCAGGAACCCCGTATCCCCATTATTCCACGCCGAGTTCCTCTCAAACGTCAAACTACCCGGGTTCCCATTATCAATAAACCCCTTCTTCCAATTCCCAAACGCGATACAATTCCGCACTACATGATCCGCCACGGGGTTCCCCGTAATCCCCAATTTGAATCCGTTTCCATCCCCTTCAAACGGGCTGAACCCCCACCGGTTATACCCGTTGCCCCAAGCATACACCTCCTCCAGCACCACGGCGGACCCAAACATGAAGAGGTCGAGCCCGTCGTCGACGTTATCCCACAGCCTCGCATTGCGCAGGACGTTGCCCTCGCCGGACCCGGACTTGCACGCGAAGCCGTCTGCGCTCTCGCCGTTCTTGCGCGGGTCGCGGTTGCGGTAGGAGTCGAGGTTCGTGACTGTGTTGTTGGACGAGGCGCCCTCGAGCTGGAAGCCCGTTTCGTAGTTGTCGTGGGTGGAGATGTTCGTGTAGGTGTTGTGGGAGGCGTCGCGGGCGTAGATCCCGTAGGGCCCGTTGATGAGTCTTGGTTCAGGTCAGTTGTGTTGATTGGAGATTGGGAGAGAGAAGTGACGTGAAGGGATTTTGACTTACTCCAAATCGTAGAATGCCCAGTAATTCGCATTTTGGATGTGAAAGATCCCGCGCTCAGAATTGGGCAAGGCCTCATCCAACGCCTTTGGAGTTCTGGTGAAAGTTGGAATACCCCCTGTCAGTTCACATTTTCTGCCCCACAAGCACAGTCTCACTACTACTGCATATTCCACAAGCAGCTGGAGACAAAAGACTTACCCAGGCATATTCTCCCCATCGACAATAACCTTCTCCCCCGGATACGCCCTCACAGTAATCGGCTGCGTCCGCGTCCCGCTCTTTGCAATCTGAATATTCGCCGTCGGCGCATACGTGCCCCCGCGAAGAAAAATCGTGTCGCCCGCGACGGCGGCGCCGACGGCCGATTGGATGGAGCCGTACGGCGCATCGAGGGTGCCCGTGCCTGTGCCTGCGGGGGAGACGAAAATGTCGCGGGCGGTCGTGTGGTACGCGCCACTTAGGAGGAGCGCAAGGAGCGCCAGCGGCGGCGGGCTGGATTTGGAGGGGATCATGACTTTGCGAGCTGGAGGAGGTCCGATGACACGACCTTTTGGAGAGGAAAGCAAACGAGTGAACCTTTTTTTTTTTTTAATTGGGTGAAAGTTTCCCGTGCATCCAATACCTTTTTATGAACTTGTGTTCTGCCAAGAAAAGAAGAAATAGATGACAATACAGCTTGTCCATGAAAAGCCGATTCGCCCATATCTCTGAGTGACAATTTCTTTCATCAAGCTGCGTGACGTGCAGGTACCAATATCCGTACTTCGTCTCCAAAATGTAACCATGTCTTTCCAAGAAATCCAACAAGAAAGACAGAAATTCCCCCCAATCACGGGCCCCTGTCTCCACCGAATCGGGAAAGAAGTACCATTTCTCCCGTGTCCGTACCCCCCACCTGGACCACCTCCCCGGAAGAAAACGATCCCGCAAATAAAACAAAGTCGACGGGATCTCATCTGTCGTTTATGTTTCGAATCAGAGTCTTTTCGATTTCGATTGACTGTGTACATCAATGGGCACGGGTATATTTGCACCCGTTCGTCCTTGAACAGGGCAGCCCTGAGATTTCAACTCTCACCCCCACACCTCTTCTCTTATTAACAACAGCAAGATCTTCAGGTAGAAGCCCACGTATCCCAATTCTCCGCGCTAAAATCAGGCCAATACAACGCCTGCAAGTCATCATAGAACGACGCCTCCAAAAACTGCAGATCCAACACCGGTTGCGCAAGGAGCTCCTCCAACGACGGCTCCGTCAGCGCCATTCCCGCCGTCGTGGGCCCCGTCCCCGACCGCACTGGAAGTCCACTTGCACCACTGGGACCGAATTGCGACGACATTAGCGGGCCGGATTCAGGTTCAGGTCCGGGTCCGTGCGACGGCGGCAGTACCTCGCCATAGGAAGATGTAGAGGAAACCTGCGTCTGCGTCTGCTGCTGCTCAGGGTCCACCCTCCCCATACGCTTCGCATAAAACCTATCAAGCTCAGCCCTCATCACGTCGACGTGGTGACAGTATTCCATTGCAGCGAAATTCCCCGCGTCGCGCAGCTGCGAGAGGAACCTGACCGATTCCTCAAAGGCCTCCTTGTCGTCATTGGGCGTTGTCCCCGCCCCTGACGTACTGTCCTGGAGAAGACTCGACGCGGCGAGGATCGTCAGCGCAGAGAAAAGGTACTGCGTGTAAAAATAGTCAAACGTCGCAAAAGACCCGTCGATCCACGATTCAGTCAGCAAGCGAATCGAGTGGCGCGCGCAGCGGATACAGGCTTCCGATAGCGTGATTGCGCTCGCGGGGACTTGCTGAGTCTCTGTGGTCGTGGTCGCGGATGGCCATGAGGCGACTTTGGTTCGTAGGATGTGGAGGAGAATTGGGCGTGTTGCTAGGATTGCGCACTTGAAGGAGCATGCGTTAGTAAAGGATTGTCTCTTCAGGTGAGCGTCTGTGCGAGATTCTAATACCTGGTTAAAAGACAAGTGCAGCGAAATAGGCTTCGGCCCAGTTCCCGCATTATCGATCTGCAAATGGGCAGGCAAATCCTCCACCCAGGCCCGCAGATCCTTGAGCGCCTGCTGAACCCTCGTCGACAGTGTCGTCGCCTCGCCCTGGCTGCGCTGGCCGTAGATGGAGCGGACCGTCTTGGTGATGAGGGCCGCCAGCCGCAGGCTCGCCACGTGGTATGCGGTATCCTCAAAGTCGGTCGCGTGAGTCCGCACCACTGCCACCCCATCATTCTCCGCCTCAGAGGGCAGATCGACGCCGACGTCGCTGTCTTGGATGGCGGTCGGGTGGCCGAGCTTGGAGGCCCAGATGCGGTCAAAGATGTACGTCGTCCAAAAGAGGCGCTTGCGGTGCTCGCGTAGATCAGGGTCGCGTAGCTGGGACTCGGGGATGTTGAGGTGCAGGCCCATAACGATGGCCATGCGCATCGCGGTGCCGGACATGACGAAGGCGCTGTAGCGGCGGTTGAGGGCCAACGAGTAGAAGGAAAGAAGCAGCATGATCTCGATCGAGTCCGTGCCCGGCCGCTCGTCGAGCACACCCAGTACGCGCGAGGCCTTGGCAAAGTAGGGCATCCCGGGGAAGTCCTTCTCCGAGGGGATGGACCTTGTGGAGTAGAGCTCGCCGATGGCGAAGAGAGCCCACAGCTTGGAGCGGAGCATGAGGTCGCCCCAGGAGGGGTTGTGAATGCTCTGCTCGAGGTCGCGCATGACGGCGCTGCGGCGGACGACGTGGTACCGCCGGGCGACGTACTTGAGGGCGACCTCGACGAGGAAGCGGGAGCGCGAGGGCGTGGGCCAGGCGACGTCGGAGGACTTGACGAGAGCCATGAGCTCGGCGTCGGGAGCGTAGTTCACGCGCAGCATGTGGCGAGGTTGCGGCGCGTAGGGGTCCGAGATGACCTGGCGGAAGCGGGTGGAGAAGGCGGCGTCAGCGACCTCGCCGATGAGGATCGGGGTGCGGAAGACGTTGGCGTTGATGAACCACGGTCGAACTTCGAGGGTTGCCGTTGTTGGAGCTGCGGTTCCGGCTGCTGCTACTGCATCTTCCGCCGCCGCTGCCACTGTCGAGAGATCTTCGTTGTCGCCTAGGTTTGCAGACGTTGGCGTTGACAAGACCTCCCTGTGGCCAGTGTAACTGGTGTTTTGAGATGGTGTTGCTGTCGACGTCGTCGTTGATATCACGTCATCTAGCGGCGCACATGTGGAGGTCGAAGCGCTCTGAGAGGCAACCTGGTTCTTGAGACGGCGAATCTCATCCAGAAGACCGTCAATGTAGCTGTAATTGTACAACAAATACTTGGCATGAGCTCATCATTATCCCGTAGTTCATAGTAGAGAAGAGGAAGAAGAAAGGAAAGAAAAGGAAAGCAAGAAACCGTGTGTTGTGTGTAGTTGCATGGCTCTCGGTCAGAAGTCAAATGTAAAGTACCTTTGTCTGACCTTGACCTGTCTATTGCGGCGCGGATAAGTGCACTCGGCACCCTTCCCGGCATGCCGACAATTCTGACAGGGCTGGTCGCCGGAGCACTTTACTTTTCGCGAATGGCATCGGCGGCACGCGGTTGATTTGATGGGCGGGAGAGGCCCGTCATCAAAGGGGCTTCTGCGAGCCTCCGTCGTGCTGCTGCTGGATGGGTGGCTGTTGCGAGCCGCCATGGTGGGAATGGCATGTCTTGAGGTGCGGGTTTGAGTACCTGACAGTGGGTAGAAGAGGTGGTGAAATGAGAGTAAAGTAAAGGCTGAAGACAAAGAAAAATAAGAAAGAAAGTGACGAGGTCAAGTCCGATGCATCCCTTCGATAGCGTTGTCCATGGCCAATTTCCCACCAACATACGAATTACGCGTGCCTGCCTACTTACCTTCCCTTACTGCCAGGGACACTGCGAGTATGTGTCAGAGGGCTCTCTCGTCACACCGATGACGGCGAAATGTCGGGATGCCGAGGTGACCCAGGCTTGCCAGCTTTGTTGCTTTGTCAGATTTCACAACGCACCGGCAGCTGGCAGCGGCCCGAGCTTTCGTCTCTCTCCGGTCTCGTCGGCAAAGCGACATTTTGCCGACAGATGAGTCATCCTGTAAATTAGGTAATCACCAACAACTTTTTGTTCGTCTTGTTGCTTCTTCAAGGATGAAGGAGGGACTTTATCTTTTGGGGTGTTTGGATGATTGTAGTATGATATTATGAATAAGAAGTCTGACGGGAGTTACTTGAAATAAGTAGCCTACCACTCGGATAGTAAATCTCTAACATAAGTGTAATTCGAGAGCAATGACAAATTGTGTTGCTTGAGGCTAGCTTGAGCCTAGTAAAGGAGAGTATGAAGTGTTACAGTGTCTATCAGCGTTCCAAGAGTACCAGAATGACAAATGAAAAAAAGAAAGCAAGAGGTGAAACCGAAATGACCACAATGCATTTGGAGCCCGTTTGGATAACTAGGCAAAGGATACGACAACTCTACCGGGGGCAGTTGAAGCGGCGAGGCCTTGGAACGAGTCCGAAACCGAGGCGTCCACGAAGCTGGAACCACCGCCACCACCGGCCGGCATACGCTGGACTGTTGAGCCCACCGAATAGTAGCCAGTGGCTCCGCTACCTCCACCGCGGTAACCACCGCCGCCGCCGCCAGAGCCATCGTTGAAGCTGCCGCCCGCGCCGGCAATACCGTTCCCGCCAACGGATCCGCTTCCGGCATTTCCGTTTGCCGACGTTCCCAAGCCTGTCCACGTACCACCGGCTCCGGCGAGAATCTGAGTGCCCGGAGCTCCTCCATTGGATGTGGACGTGACGGTACCGCTCGGCAGCGTGATATTGTAGGAAGAACCCTTGTCACCGGCGTTACTTGTTCCGCCAATGTAGTTGTAGTTTAGTTCAAAAGCTCCTTGGCCGTTGTTGGATACCACGATGGACCCGCCGCCGCCTCCGCCAGCGACCGCGAGAAGGTTCTGGCCGAGGTAGAGAGCGGAAGCGCCGCCACCTCCACCGCCATTGTTGGAGGCAGATCCACCATTGCCGTACTGACTCTGGCCAGCAGCACCAACGGCATTGACTCTCGTACCAGCGCCGCCAGCGAGCAGCAAAACAGTTTCGCCTGGGGTAACAGCGATGGAGCCGTTGATCGATGCACCAGCACCGCCGCCACCACCGCCGCCACCGAGGACGGTGAATCGCATGACAGTGGCGCAGGCAGGAACAACTACTTGGGCTGTGGCACCCGCCGGGGCGGCGGCCGAGGCCGTGCTCGTCAAGGAGACCACGCAAGAAGTCGAGGACGAAGTCGTCGAGCTGGACGTGGTGGAGGTGTCAGTTGTAGTCGGGGCAGCAGTGGTGGACGAAGTCAAAGTATCAGTCGATGTAGTGGCAGGACTGGTGGTAGAAGTCGACGAAGTCGGAGACGTCGTCACAGTCGGAGTGGTAGTCGAAGTACCAGGAGGCGTGATGTCGAACTGTGCGGGCGCGTTACCGCAGCCGCCAGGCACGAAGATGTTATTCGTCGCCGGTACGGTTTGCGACGCAACAACGGCGCCACTTGGATTTGTAACGGTCAAAGAGTGCTGGTAGCAGCCCTGGGCGTTTACATAGAGGAACCTGATGGGGTAATATTGACCCGCCACGGCTGTGAACGTGAATGTGGGGACGGTTGCGGGCTGTTGGGTGTACCGAGTGAGGTCGGCGTTGGCGTTTGTAAAACCGGTCACCGCCTTGTCACCAATCCAGACGTACCCACCTTCATCTGCCGTACCAAAGGCAAAAGTATACGTGCCGGATACGTTGGGATGGAAGTAGCCCGTCTGCTGGATGTACCAGTATCTCGAGCCGCCGTTGACTGTTGTGCCATAAACGACGGGTGTTGGATCTGTAGTCTCGGCGCAGTTGCCGCCAAATGTGGTACCAACGAGATTCGTCACCCCGGTGGTCTGAGGGCTCTGTCCTGAAAGAACGGTACGCACGTTGTTGTATGTGTCCGCCCAGGCGTCGCCCGAAGCCACGACGTGGAAGGGAATCTGTCCTGGGTAGCTGGTGGTGTTGCTAGGCGACTGGTTGAAGTCGTAGTACGCCCAGTTCAGTCCGGAAGTACAAGTCGGGGTGGCTGAAGTGGAACTGCTCGTCGAAGATGAAGTCGTGCTGGTCATGGTAGAACTTGTGGAAGTGGTGAGAATGGATGGATCTGCTGCATATACGCAGCGAGCTCCATCGTTGACTCCCGAAACAGGACCATCGGAGACCAAGGTTGGCTGACCAGAGTTGACGTTGAAATTATAAATATTTCCGCTGTTGTTTTCGGAGCCGTAGAACGTGTTGCCGCTCGAGGCATAAAGCGCTCCAAACACTTCGTTGCCATTGATCCGCGTGTATGTCCGTACAATTGACCAGTCATGAGTAGTCCGACTCCATCTCGCTAATGAGAATCGACCGTTGGCGTCGACTCCCGTGATACTGTAGAGGTAATCGCCACCTCCGGGTACATAAACCCAGTCGGATACGCCATTGGCGATAGTACTAGTACCTGTGGCGATGATCTGCGTGAAGGTCGCCGAGTTGGGGTTCATATCGATTTGTGCCCAGGCTCCACCGCTAACGCTGATGTAGTACCGTCCGAGTGTGTCGATCTCTCCAACGTTGTAGTATCCAGTTGGAAGATCTGGGCCAATGAGAACCCCTTGGCCGTTCCTTGCGATGCGGATTATACGGTTCACATTGTTCACAGTAGTAATGCCATAAATGTAGTTATCCAAGGGGTTATAGCCAATCGCATTGATTTGACCACCAGGTCCAACATTGGTAGAAACCGTGGTCTGAACCCCAGTAGTGAGGTTTAGTCGGTAGAGTGTGGTGCCCTGGATCAGATAGCCACCAGCGTCGCAGCTGTAGGTCGGGCCAGGGGCGATTGTGGTTGAGGTCGAGCTGCTGCTAGTGCTGCTAGGGGTCACAAAAGTAATGACGCTTGTTGTGCCAGCAGGATCCGTGGGGATGATGGTAGTGAGGCCAGTCTGTGTGCCTGTAGATACAACCGTCGTAAGTCCTCCAGTGATCGGAGGGACGAAGGTGATGACACTAGTGGTTCCGGCGGGATCCGTGGGGATAATAGTAGTTACACCCGTCTGGGTACCGGTCGACGTAAGAGTTATCAAGCCACCCGTAATAGGGGGGACGAAAGTGATAACACTGGTGGTTCCAGCAGGGTCCGTTGGAATGATTGTAGTTGCACCCGTCTGGGTGCCGGTTGACGTGAGAGTTGTCAAGCCACCTGTGATCGGAGGAACGAAGGTAATAACACTGGTGGTTCCAGCAGGATCTGTTGGGATTATAGTAGTGACTCCTGTTTGAGTGCCTGTCGATGTGAGTGTGGTCAAACCACCGGTGATAGGAACGAAAGTGATGACGCTGGTGGTTCCAGCAGGGTCCGTTGGAACGATTGTAGTTACTCCTGTTCGGGTACCAGTCGACGTAAGAGTTATCAAGCCACCCGTGATCGGAGGAACGAAAGTGATGACACTGGTAGTTCCGGCGGGATCCGATGGAATGATGGTGGTAGCTCCCGTCTGTGTGCCTGTGGAAGTGATGGTTGTGAGCCCGCCCGTGATCGGGACGAAGGTGATGACGCTGGTGGTGCCAGCAGGATCGGATGGAATGATGGTGGTCGCTCCAGTGCGTGTAGCCGAGGACGTTACTGTTGTGATGAAGCCTGTAGGAGGCTGAACGAAAGTGATGACACTGGTGGTACCAGCAGGGTCTGTAGGGATTACAGTTGTTACTCCAGTCTGGGTGGCTGTCGAAGTGAGCGTGGTGATGAAGCCTAGACGCTGGACAAACGTGATGACTGTTGTAGGGCCGCCGCTGGGACCCGGTGGGACAGTGGTCAAACCGGTCGTAGAACCGGTCGAAACGATGGTCACCGGTGGGATCGGAGCCGTGGTTGTGACAAAAGTCACGACAGTCGGAGAGCCGCCACTGGGGCCGGGCGTAAGGGTAGTCAGTCCAGTAATGCTTCCAGTTGAAGTAACTGTGACTGGTACGGGCGTAGTGACGAAAGTGACAACCGTAGGAGGACCACCGCTGGGGCCGGGCGTGAGGGTAGTCAGGCCAGTGACGCTTCCAGTCGAAGTGACTGTAACTGGTACGGGCGTAGTAACGAAAGTGACAACCGTGGGAGGGCCGCCGCTGGGGCCGGGCGTGAGAGTTGTTAGGCCAGTGACGCTTCCAGTCGAAGTGACTGTGACTGGCACAGGTGTAGTAACGAAAGTGACTACCGTGGGAGGGCCGCCGCTGGGGCCGGGCGTGAGAGTTGTTAGGCCAGTGACGCTTCCAGTCGAAGTGACTGTGACTGGCACAGGTGTAGTAACGAAAGTGACTACCGTGGGAGGGCCGCCACTAGGTCCCGGAGTAAGGGTTGTCAGGCCAGTAGTGCTTGCAGTAGAAGTGACTGTAACTGGTACAGGTGTAGTAACAAAGGTGACTACCGTGGGAGGGCCGCCACTGGGCCCCGGAGTAAGGGTTGTCAGACCAGTAATACTTCCAGTCGAAGTGACTGTGACCGGTGACGAGGGAGTAACAAATGTCACTACTGTGTAAACCGAGTCACCGCCGTAGGGAAGAGTCGTCAAGCCGGTCGTGCTAGCTGTTGAAATGATCGTAGTCACACGTGGTGTCGGCACAAAAGTAATCACAGTTGGTGGTCCTCCAGGTCCTCCCGGAATCGTAGTCAATCCGGTGGTGCTGCCTGTGGATGTCACGGTAACGGGCGGCGGGCCAGTCGCAATGGTGACAATTGTAGTCGGGTCTCCGGGTCTGCCAGGAGTCTGAGTGAATAGGCCAGTTGAGGATCCCGTCGATGTGACGGTCACATATGGAGGGCCAGTCACAAGGGTGATGACTGTAGTCGGGTCTCCCACTCTTCCGGGGGTCAAGGTTGTAAGACCGGTAGTTGACCCCGTTTGAGTGAGAGTAACCCGAGGAATGGGGGTTGGGACGAAAGTGATGACAGTAGTGGGATCCCCAGGTCTACCCGGAGTCTGGGTGGTGATGCCAGTGACTGAGCCACTGGTAGACGTAAGTGTAAGAATGCCTCCCGTAGGGCTCGGGATAATAGTCACGATGGTGGTTGGGTCACCAGGTCGGCCGGGAGTCTGAGTAACGACACCCGTACCCGTTCCGGTAGATGTTATGGTGACGAAACCTCCAGTAGGAGACGGAACAATAGTAATGACAGTAGTAGGATCTCCAGGGCGGCCAGGGGTTTGAGTGATCAAGCCAGTTCCTGTTCCCGTGGAGGTAATTGTAGTGAAGCCCCCAGTTGGGGAGGGCACAATAGTAATGACTGTAGTCGGGTCGCCAGGTCGTCCAGGAGTCTGAGTGATCAACCCAGTTCCTGTTCCGGTTGAGGTGATGGTCGTCACCCCGCCAGAAGGACTTGGCACCAGAGTGATGACTGTAGTTGGATCTCCAGGCCTACCGGGAGTCTGAGTAATCAGGCCAGTGCTACTTCCAGTAGATGTGATGGTGACGAAGCCACCTGTAGGACTTGGGACAATGGTGATGACGGTAGTTGGGTCGCCTGGGCGGCTAGGAGTCTGGGTGATGAGGCCAGTTCCTGTTCCGGTTGAAGTGATTGTGACGAAGCCACCTGTGGGAGATGGAACGAACGTAACCACAGTCGTTGGATCTCCTGAGCGGCCGGGCGTGAGAGTTGTGACGCCAGTCCGAGTGCCTGTTGAGGTGACAGTTGTCAACCCTCCCGGAGGGGGCACAATGGTGACCACAGTAGTCGGATCGCTGGGTCGGCCTGGTGTCAGGGTCAACAAACCGGTTTGACCGGGCTGAGTGCCAGTGGAAGTAGTAGTGACGAAGCCACCAGGAGGAGGCACAATCGTGACAACTGTGGTAGGATCGCCGGGTCGACCTGGTGTCAGGGTCAATAAGCCGGTTTGACCGGGCCGAGTACCAGTGGAAGTGGTAGTGACGAAGCCACCAGGAGGAGGCACAATCGTGACAACTGTAGTAGGGTCACCAGGCTTTCCAGGGGTGAGGGTGAGGAGGCCCGTTTGGCCTGGCTGAGTGCCAGTCGACGTAGAAGTAACAAAGCCACCGGGAGGAGGCACGATAGTAACGACTGTAGTAGGATCACCAGGCTTTCCAGGGGTGAGGGTGAGTAGGCCAGTCTGACCGGGCTGAGTACCAGTCGATGTAGAAGTGACTATACCTCCGGTGGGTGGTGGGACGATGGTAACAACTGTAGTAGGATCACCAGGCTTTCCAGGAGTGAGGGTGAGGAGGCCCGTTTGGCCTGGCTGAGTGCCAGTCGATGTAGAAGTCACGAAGCCACCGGGAGGAGGTACGATAGTAACGACTGTAGTAGGATCACCAGGCTTTCCAGGGGTGAGGGTGAGTAGGCCAGTCTGACCGGGCTGAGTACCAGTCGATGTAGAAGTGACTATACCTCCGGTGGGTGGTGGGACGATGGTGACGACTGTGGTAGGATCGCCAGGTTTTCCAGGCGGCAGTGTCAACAGACCAGTCTGACCGGGCCGGGTACCGGTTGAGGTGGAAGTAACCACTCCCCCAGTGGGAGGAGGCGGCACAATAGTAACAACGGTAGTAGGATCTCCAGGCTTTCCGGGAGGCAATGTCAGGAGGCCAGTCTGGCCAGGCTGCGTGCCGGTGGACGTTGACGTCACAACCCCGCCAGTCGGAGGGGGAACGATGGTAACAACCGTAGTTGGGTCCCCGGGCTTGCCGGGCGGCAGAGTCAGTAGACCTGTCTGGCCAGGGCTGGTACCAGTCGAAGTGGAAGTGACTACGCCTCCTGTTGGGGGAGGGACAATCGTGACCACAGTGGTAGGGTCGCCAGGCTTTCCAGGAGGCAGAGTAATCAGCCCCGTCTGACCTGGGGTTGTACCGGTCGAGGTGGAAGTCACGACGCCACCGCTAGCAGGAGGAACAATCGTGACAATCGTCGTTGGGTCTCCGGGCTTGCCAGGGGGTATGGTGATGAGTCCTGTCTGGCCAGGCCGAGAGCCGGTCGACGTGGCAGTCACCAGCCCCCCCGTCTGCGGTGGGACGTAGACGATTTGGGTGCCAGTGCCATCGGTCCCGGAGGGAGGCAACGTCAAAGTAGTCAACACCGTACCGGGAGCTGTGATGGTCGTGTAGGGTCCATTGAAAGGAGGACTTCCTGCATTCGGCGTAGGCGCAGGGGTCAGGACGAGGACAGTTCCGGTAGGGTCGCCGCCGCTGGGGGGGATGGTCAGGGTCGTCAAGGTTGAGCCCGGATAGGGGGCCGTGGCTGTTGTGAAGCTTCCACCGTTGGGAGAGGTTGATGGCAACCAGGGCTTGTTGGACTCGAGAGGAGAGCAGATGTACTTCGTGCCAGTGGCTTGGCCGCTTTGAGGAGGGATGACAATGGTGGTCGGCTGGGATCCTGCAGGAACATTTGCGGTAACCGTGACACAAGGGCCATTGTAGGGAGAGTTTGTGACCCTGGAGAAGAAACAAAGTTAGTACCATTCAGAAGAAGATTCAAGATGCTGCGCTGAAAGAGTCATTGATGGTGGACTATTATCAGAATGCTTACACAGCAGAGCTGTACGTCATCGTCATCGTGGTCAGGAAGTCGGTATTAACCACAGTTGGAGCATTGGTGACCTTGACGGTTGTGCCAGCTACAGTGAAAACGGTATTGGAAGAGAGAGAAGTGCTGAGATGAAGCGGGATGCAATGAACGATTTCGAAAGGCTGGACAGCGGTTGGAACAGCTGCTGGCCCAGTGGTGGGACAGTCCTCTCTTGCTAAGCCAGGCCATGGTAGGATGGCCGCAGAGCTCATCAACGAGGTGAGAAGCGAAGTGCGCCTCATCTTGGCGATGATGCTTTCAAGTAAAGACTCTGGATGCTTGAACGACTGTGGACATGGAGATGTCAGAAGCAACTTGGTAATAGAAGGCTGGCGAGCTGGTATTGTGTGTTGTCGTGAAGTGAATCTTTGGGAATTTGGACGACGGCTTATATTTCAAAAGTTTGGAGCTGTCAGTTTCTTGACGTTACACGCTTGGGTATGATCACGATGATCCAAGTCAAAGGCCACTCTTCGACTCTGTACGTGGCGCGTTCCGGAGTCGGTTGGCTCCCGTCACATCACTAACTTGATTTCCACCGCCAATCCTGAACCAGCGTGTTTCTCCAACGCGCAATGTGAAAATTTCAAAGTCTCCGCAAATACGCCGCGACAAAAACTGTTCTGACATTCACGGATTTTCTTTTGGTCTGCTTACTACCGTTGCCTCGCCTCTCGCCAAGAACTTTTCGTATCGTTTTCATCTAGAGCTGACGATACATGATTATTTACCGTCAATGAAACCGGTGGGACTTATTCTCTTGCGTTCTTGAGAGGTTCATCTCAGCGGTATGCTACCAGATCACGGCAAGTCAATGCCGAGCTGTTTGAAGGTGAAGGACGATGGCCGAAAAGGACAAGTTGTGAGGCATCTGCCAGATGCAGTTCACTCAGCGAGCAGGCATCAACAACGTAGTATAGTCGAGGAACCTGTGTATATTCCTCCTCAAATTGTAGAGCTTTCTGCGAGCTAAGCACGAAGCAAGTACATCCCTATCCTGCTCTCTATACTTGAATGTCGTGAAGCATCACTAATGCAAGACTTCTGTTTGCGTGCCTGTCCAGCTGGCATTGAGGTTGTCGCCATTACCAACCTCCAGAAGCAGTAAAGCTAAACTGACTTGGCAGCTGCTTGAGGCCACCCGGTATGCACGTTCCATCAATAGTCTGGTCCCAAGGCAGTAAGCCAACATGAGTTTTCCTCTTGGGGCTATAACCTGTTTTTCCAGCCAATTAGAGGGCTTTATACGCCTGCTTCGGCTAGGTACTTTCCCACAGACGCGGGCGGGCCGCGCTGTTTCTAGAACTAGCTCCGAGTAATTACCTACATACGGTCGTGATTACCTAAGGTCGCAATTGCCCAAGGTCGTAACTATAACTTACGTCCGGTCTTAATTGCCTAGTTATTGTGATTCCGGAATACATACTTGATTACGATCATAAGTAATTGCGACCGTAGTGTACGTAAGTAGCTATGTATGGCAGGTGCAGCGCGGTCGCTAGATTTCAAGTTTCACTGGAAGGCTCTTCTCATTGGCTGGAAAAATGGGTTACTGCCCCAATAGCAGAACTCGCCAACAATATCTCAGGTAACGACACATCCGATTGCTCCGCCGCAGAGTGTTCTGCAAACGTCGTTGCTCTCTCAATATAGCTATTCTGTTTAAGTCCTCAAAAGACCGAAACTTTAACGGAGGGGGGCGGGCAGGGCTGCTGCTTCCCGAAGACAGGGCTATCGATTCCCAAAGGCAGCGAGCACACTAGTACGGAAGCCGAAGACCTTCCTAAACGGACCCGTTTCTTCATCTGCACGCTACCTGCATGTGGGTTAGCATGACGCTAGTAAGATCTGGGACAGCGTAAGCTGCGCCGATCAGGAACTAGGGGCCGTTCTCTTCTGATTTCATTCCAAACTTGATATTGGCGAGTTGCCTCTGTAAGATTGTTGATGGATTTAAGATGGTGATGGTTGATGAGACTGGAAGTTGTTGCATTTGGTCTTTAAGACTTCCGTTCCCTTGAGCAACATTCGGCATTGAAATTCTCTCCTACCATTCTTTTGGCACTTATCTCATTGCACATCCAACTTTACCTCCCCCACAATGAGGTCCTTACATTTTTTGCCGCTTCTTCCTTTTGCACTTGCTGCGCCCCCTCTCGTCGATCCATATCTTGAGATGTGCGGCATATCCATCACATACTCCGCCATAACGAGCACTCTTCTACTACCACCGCAAACAATCTCTCTCTGCGAGAATTCGAGCAATTGCGCCATCCCTACCATTGGTGCTGGAGGAGGCTCCCCCGCAGCTCCGCAGGCCACCGCCACCCAAGTCCCTGGGGGCAATCCTCCTGCCGGTCAGCCTGGTTCTAGTCAAGCTCCCGGAGGCAATCCCCCTGCCGGGCAGCCTGGTGCTAGCCAAGCTCCCGGCGGTAACCCTCCCGCCGGACAGCCTGCTGCCAGTCAAGCACCCGGAGGCAGTCCACCCGCCGGACAACCCGCTGCCAGTCAAGCTCCCGGCGGTAATCCTCCCGCTGGGCAGCCCGCTGCCAGTCAAGCACCCGGGGGTAATCCCCCTGCCGGACAAGCAGCTGCCTCTGGTGGTTCGAATGGCAATTCGCCAGGCGCAACAGTCTCTTCCCCGGCGGGCTCTGGTAAACCCTCCTCGGTATCGGCATCTTCCGCATCTCGGTCATTTGGTTTCAAATGGAATGAGCTTTGTGTCATGGGATTCGCCGGCGCAGTCACTCTTTTTCTGAGCCTGGTAGTCTAATGTTTGCCCAATCTTGGGCCGAGAAGTGGTCAACTTTGTAGAAGTAGGCTGTGGCGGCGGAGTACCTCATTAAATTGGAACATTGTCGGGTATCCTTTTGTCACTCGGAAGAGCTCGTTAGAATTTACTCCGCCGACTTCCTTGTCTTTCTTTCCCTCTTCTTGATTAGAAATACGCATAATTCTTAGGCGGTTGTACATGGACGAGTCGCCTAGCTCCGCCTATTTGTCCTGAGTTTGGAACAGCTGTTGTAAGTGGGTGGGAGGGTACTCTAGACGGAAATGGTTTCTTTTTTTTTTCTTCTCTTTCTCAAGTAACAATCAATTACGTGGGTTGCAATTATCAACCGTCCGTTGCGTTCCACAATTGTTCTTTCGGGTGATTTTTCGTGATGCGATGTCAATCCTCGGGCTCAATTGGTCATATGGCGACCTGGAGTTGAGACTCTGTCAACGAAGGAGAATCCCCCTGGATTGACCCCTGTCCGGAAAAGGGAATGGCGCACCTGCGTGTCTTTCCGACCCCTGCGCTGATCGTCCGGGTCTAAGCACCGTGGATGGCCACAACGACGACGACGGGCCGCGGTATTCAGCCCACGCTGCCGGGGCTTGAAATCTGCAGCGATTTCCAGGCGCAAAGATGGGTATGGGGGTAAGAAGAAGATCATGGATGCGTTGGAGAAGCGTTCAGATCTCGCAGTGCAGCGCCGTCCATCTTGGAGGCGCTCGAGCTTGCAAGATTTGCAGCCAAAACAAGGCCACTTGCAGTGACGATTACCGTTGCGATTTCATCAAAAGACGAGACAGTCAGGAGGCAAACGGCAATCCAATTCACCAGCCCAGAATCCAAAAACAATGCACTGAGTTATCTTCTCCCGAGTCAGTAGTGCATACCTGAGGGCGTGCAAGCCCAGATCGATGTCTCGTATAGTTGCGCTAAGTAGAAGTCGCTGAATTAATGATGCTGTAGAAAATGGAATTAATTTCGAGGTGAGCTCTCCAAAGGATGTTTCTCTGCTCTGGTTATTAAGTGCGGGATGCTGCTCGTCAAAGCCAGTGCTGGCCGACTGTAGCCAACATAGCAAGCCAGGCCGAGTGTTTTCAACTTGAACCACATGGATTAATTATCGAAGTATATTATAGAACATAGTTCTTTATTTAAAATGAAACCAGATGTAGAGCTCGCTTTGAAACTAAAAGTAAAAGCGAGGACAGATCTCGATGATGATATAATCAAGGTTATATAACGTGTGGTGAGGTCACGTATAGTTGAAGCTATCAAGCCAATATCATTATAGGCTCTTCACCTCAGCAGGCAATCAAAAGTGTGAGTAGTTACTGCTTTTTGTAACACAAAGCAATGTACGTTTTTGTATTACGGAAAGAGGAGGATGGGCATCAACTCCTCAGTCTGAGGTGAAATCAAGCCATGATGCTACCTCTCGTCATATTACCAGGATACCAGTCAACCACCGGGCAACATACGTCTTTCAGTTTTCTTGCTAGAGACATTCCTGAACCCCTTCAAATTGACTGGATTTCTTACTTCACCGCACTCCGTAACCCTAAAATCATGTCGGAGCGTCAGGGTTTGTTTTACCAATCACCCTCGGGATTTGGATTCCGTGTAGACCTCCTTCGCTCGTCACCTTAGTCAGCCCATGCACCACACACAGCTTCATCACCACGAGCAACATCAATCCCCAAGCACGAGGACTTGGTGGGAGAAAAAAGAAAAATCTATATAACAGGTCCTTTTTCTCACTTTCGGCTGGCATCACGAAAACCCCAGAAAGGAACAAAAGTCCCAAAATCAAACACGAAAAGACAAAGAAACCCCCCCCCCCCCCTCGCCTAACGAAGAAAATGGCACACGCACTCATCCTTGGCGCCTCGGGCATCTCAGGCTGGTCCCTCCTCAACCAGGCCCGGACCTACCCCACGCCCACGACCTTCGCCCGCATCACCGGCACCACGAACCGCCCTCTGACCCTCGAACAGGCGCGGCTGCCTGCAGATGACCCGCGCCTGGCCCTCGTGTCCGGTATCGACTTCACGAAGAGCGTGGACGAGGTAGCGGCGGCGCTGAGGGACCAGGTTCCCGACGTGGAGACTGTTTCTCACGTCTTTTACACGGGTACGTACTCAAGCAGAGAAAGTTGCATGCCATGCATGCGTTCAAGAAAGGGGTGTCTGTGTGTGTGTGTGTATGTGTGTTTGGGAAATGTGGATTTTGCTAACAACGTCGGGGAGGCCAATGTAGCCTACATCGACGTAGACGTCTCCAAGGGACAAGCGGTGGCGACAGCAGCCAACACGGAATTACTCGCCGTGGCGGTCAAAGCAGTCGAAAAGGTGTCGCCGCGCCTCGCCTTCGTCGTCCTGCAGACGGGCGGAAAGGGGTACGGCCTCATGTACCCTGACAAGGTGACGCTACGCACCCCGCTCCGCGAAGACGCGCCGCGGATCCCGCGGCCGTGGGCCGACGAGGTGTTTTACTACGCGCAGCACGACCTGCTGCGCGACCTGTCGCGGGGGAAAAACTGGACGTTTTCCGAGATCCGGCCGGACGTGATTGTGGGGTTCGCGCCGACGTCGAACGCGATGAATATGGCGAGGGGCATTGGGATCTATCTGTCTGTTTGGCGGCGGGTTTTTGGTACTACTACTACGGGAGCCGGGGGCCTCGGGTCCGGAAACCGAGTGGAGGTGGAGGTGCCGTTCCCGGGGTCGCTGTGGAGTTACCGCGCCACGCATACGGATACCAACCAGGACGTGCTTTCCAAGATGGAAATTTTCGCGGCGGTGGTGAATCCGGAAGGGTGCGGCGGGGGAAGAGCCTTCAACGTCGCGGACGGCGGGGCGGTGATTTCGTGGTCGGTGGTGTGGCCTCGGTTGTGCGAGCGCTTTGGTCTCATCGGGGTGGCGCCGCCGCCGCCGCCTCCGTCCTCCGAAGCGGCGATCGACGCCGAGGCAGGGACGGGCACCGCGTCCGGATCTACTGCCCCGCCGCCGTCGATGAAGGACTTTATCGCGGAACACGACGACGCGTGGGTCGCGCTGGCGCGGGAGCACGGGCTGGATGAGGGCGCTGCTAGAGAGTACAATTGGGATTTCCTGCATGTGATGCTGGTGGAGTGCGACTTTGACCGCGAGTACGATCTCACGCGGGTGCGCGAGGTCGGGTTCGAGGAGGGGGTCGATACGGTGGAGGGGTATTTTGTTGCCTGGGAGCGGATGAGGAGTGCGAAGCAGTTGCCGACAGTCTAAAGAGTAGGTAGGTATGCTGCATGAAGAGGTGGACGTGGAGTGCGTGGTCGTGTTGAGTCGACGGGCTGCTTGGAGGGAGACAGGGGGGGTTTGATGGGAGATACCGGATTACAAGCGGCACCACCAAGTATCTTGAATAGGTACATTGGTAGAAAATAGTTGAAACTTGTCATGTTCTTATATACGAGAATATGCAAAAGAAAACGAACTTCAGCACAAGAAGATAGTAATCCAATGGCGCGACGTGTCATTCTACGCATTGTGTTTGTGGCCTCTTTGGGGCGGTGCGGTGGTGATAGCGAACCCGACGCACAATGACCTGACCGGACTCAGCTTCTCCAAGGTACTACGCCGGACCCTAGGGGAGGCTCAGTGCAGCGACCGACGGCCGTCCGACTTTATTTCAACGTTCTTGAAGGTCACCCAGACAACCTGAACAGAGAGCCATCTGTAGCGTTCAAGCATTGTATGAACAGGACGCTACAGGACGAGAACAAGACATTGTGTATGTTGAGATCCAGTATTGAGCTAGATAACCTACCGAGTAAGGTCCCTTAGATGCTGTAATACTTGTTGATATGACTCAAAAGAAGGACACTCTCTATGACCCGAGAAGAAAAGCTCTCACATCCGGGATAAGACAGACTCAAACTCAGACCCAAATACTGCCAGCTCTCTCAACATTGAAAATTCAATACGTAAGGAAAAGATGATATCAATCAATTACTTCAGGAGTCTGTGGAAGTTTCTTGTCCTAGTAGAGTGCATTCCTTTCCACCTCTTTGCCATAAGACTGACGCGTGCAATCTGGATCTTTGTAGCAAACTAGCTAATGCCTAAAGGCTGTGCCTCTACCCCTTCCACGAGGTCTGCCTCGTTTCGCCGGTATCGCGCTGCCGACACCCCCCCTCGGACCGAGCGGTGGGCCTCGGGCCGTTGACGGCATGAGACTGGCCCAGGCGGCAGCCATGGCGGTTCGCTGCGAGGATCCTTCACCAGAGGCCGCCGAAGAGGCCGACGACTGGACTTGGATGGGCGTTGTTACGTCTTCCGTTGAGTCCATACTAAGCGCCGGGGTGGCTTGTGACTCTTCGACCTGGATGGGAGTAGTAGGGCCTCCCATTTTGTTCATATCAAGCATCGTAGCCGAACCCACACTCGACTTGGGGACAAATTCAGGCGGCCATCTCTTCTTTAGACGAAGCTGAGTCTGATCAGAAGTCTTGCCCGCATGTCGTTCCTCACGATATGCCCTTTTAGGCGGCTGCTTCGGCTGACTGGGGGACCCCGTGGAACAATCGCTATCGGAAGTGTCGATATCATCGAGATCAAGTGGTGGCAACCGAGTGGATTTACCAGGTTTCCAAATATCATTGACAAACGTGCCTTTGCCCCAGTTTGGCTTCCTCTTGTACTCTTCACGCGCCGCCATCATTGCCATTGTTTCGGGATTTTTGCACTGCGAACCCCAGGGACAATGGTCAATGTTGAGAGTTGGGTCTTGTGAATTTCCTCGGCGTTTCATGCAATTTGGGCACTTGTAACCCAAGCCCGTGGCAGTGCATTCCAGCCACGGGTGGCTTCCCAAACAAATGCAGCAAATCGCGGAATTCGGGCACTGGCTCGCGAAGTGGCCGGGTTCGCAGCAGTTGTGACAGATGTCCAGCAGGCTCCGAGGATCGACAGGTCTATTGACGGATCAGCTTTTAGTCCCAGTGAATTGGTGAATTGAACAATAGTGTTCTCGCTTACTTATTATAGGTTTCAAAACCCCAATCTCCAATGGTCATCGGGAACGCCCAATCACAAAGATGTCTTGCATCCGAAAGCCTGTCCACAACGACGTAGAGGTCCAAAAGGCTGTGAAAGACTTTGGAAATCACCACGTCGGTTAAAAGGCTCCATTCGTAAGCAAGGTCGTCGTTGTTTCTTATCCATTCCTTAGTCCAATTGACATCTCCCACATGAATGTAGTACAGTTTGGGGACCATACTGATAGGAACACCTTCTAACCGGAGCAGTCTTGGCAAAGTAGAAAACTCGTCTTCCGCTCGCTTCAAGGAGGCCTCATTCCGGAAAAATAATTCCATGATATTGCCTCTGAAGGTCACGTCCCTGACCTCGCTGAATGGCCATTTGCCGCTGCTCCCCAACCGATTGCGGGCTCCGAAGTCGGTTAATCTGCGTAGCTTCTGAAAGCCGAGTTGGCCTGGAACCTTGACGGTCATTGTGAAGTTCACTACGGCGGGTTTCTTCGACGCGGACTTCTTTGATGAGGGCATCAACGAAGTCGAAGTCCCGGGCGAGGGGGACTGGCGAGAGGGGCCATTGTCCTCAGGGGGCTGGAGTGACTCTGTTTGGCGCGATGGCTCCGAGTGAAGAGGCGGTCCAGTGCCCTGAACTCTGGCAAGGACTGCGTTCAAGATTGCAGGCATGCTATCTGAAATAGCCTCTCTCACAAGGCGGCATATCTCCTCGGAGTTGACATGATACGTGGGGCTACCGGACATGATGTTGGTCAACCTTGTGTAAGGGAAAGAGATATGTAAGTGCTGGAAAACGAATTAGATATGTGTTCTGAAGAATCTTGAACGACGAGAGAGGTATGGATATATATATATATATAGAGAGAAAGAGCCCTTCGGGGTCCAGCCCGCCTCATTGGGGGCCATCTTCGCCTTCACGGGCAAGCTGGTCTACCAGGGTCAATATCGAGTTTCTATTGCGTACTTTAATAAGACTTTATAACTAACTATAGCCGGCTATAGCCGTTCCTAACCATCTAAATAAACTTAAGATGCTAATAACCCCGCTATAATATATTAATCGCCCTCCGAATAGCTAAAAACTACCCCTTACTTTTTACCTTTTTCAATAGCTTCAGATTTTTCTTTTTAAGTTTTCTAAATTTCTTATTTTATTAAAATAATATTAGAATATTAATAATATTTTTAAATTTATTAAGTACATCGAGGCTTTATTATATAAATTCGGTATTAATAATAATAATATTTATAAAAGCATGTACGTCTTTTTAAATTTTTAGATAAATAATAATTAATTATTGTTTTGAATAATCTTATTATAAATTAGGATTATTAAGTATAATATTAATAAAATCGAACTACTAGCTCTTAAAATATCCCTATTAATTAGCAAGTTAGCGTCTTAGTATTTTAAATATTCTTAAGATAAATAGTTTAATAATAATAATAATAATAAAAGTAATAATAATAATATAATAATAGGAAATAGTAAGAGAAGCGGTTTTTAATTTTAATAAAAAAAACGAGGTAATATATATATACATATATATATATATAAGTGAGTTAAAATATAATAAATATTATATTTATAGAGGTTAGTATTATTTCTAATAATAATAACGAGGGTATTTCAATATTATAATATTATAAGCTATTATTACTTAAAAAAATAACGAACTTAGCTAAATACGTAAGCTTATAAAATAGTAACGTTAGGCGCTTAATATTATTATTAATAATCCGTAATTATAAACTTTATAAGAGGGAAAGTTAAAAAAGTAAAAAATCTAAAAAATAATCTGTTAAAATAGTACGAGTATTTACTAATACTATGTATTAATACTATATAATCGATATTGAGAACTGCCCGAGTAGCTAGCAAAGGCAGAACATAAAAACAAATAGAGAGAAAGAGGGATAAAACAGACCCGCAATTGCTTTGCAATGATTCCATGGGTTTGCAACTTGCAAGTCTTCAACACAAAGTAGCGGGGAGGGGGGGGCGATCCAATGGTTGAGCTAGTGAAGACTGTGGATTTCTTCGGGTGTCACTGACCTTCAACAATCACCTGGAATGGGGATAGGGACTGTGGAAATTGAACGAGGTTCGGAGGACAAGACCCAGCGGGTCAGAAACTGCCTTCCCAGGTCCAGATGACACCGTATCACGATCCCGGTCCCCTTGCCATTGGATGAATGCCGAAATTACAAGTACGAAATCATACGTTGAATCCAAACATACTAAATTGTGTAGTGTCCACTATCATCCACTCAGAATGAGGTACAGGAAGAAGGATACAATTGACAAATGAAAACCCAAAGACGAAGAGAGTGAGAGAGAAGAGCGGCAAGTACTTTCTCAGTCGCTTGGCGGAAACTTGTCCTCTACCGACGCAAACCTTGCCGGCAACCCCGCAGGGAAAGTCAGACCAAATATCTGCGGCTGCTTCCCGGGCGCATCTCCGGAATCGGTCAGACACGACTGCGGCTTCTTCACAGGCTCCAACTGCATCGGTTCTGGCTGCCGCAGAGACACTGGAACGTTTCGAGCGCTTTTAGTTGCACCGCCCATGGCGTCGAAGACGGCGGTAGGCTTAGGCGCGGAGTTTTTGACCCCTGATGGCCTACCACGACCTCTCTTCACCGGCTCGTCCATCTCGTGTCCCGCTCTGCTCACACTTGCCTGCACTAACTGCTTAGATGAAGTTGCAACGCCACTAAAACTAGACTTCATTCTTTCGAAGGCATTGGGAACTTTAATCTCAGGTCCCAGAGGGGAACGGCCTGAGGAGGCTCTAGGCGTCTGCATGGCTTCGTTGCCCCTCGCCTCAACTTCGGTCCCATCCTTAACCACCGGCACATCTATGACTTGCTGACCATCGCCACGATTCAAACCGCCGACAGACGACAGCGCTGATGATGCCCCAGTCGGATGAGGCTCGCCTTGACTGCTCGACTCCATGTTATCGTCATCAACGCATTGCGTCGAAACTTTCTCCCCAGCAGCCCTTCTTGACTGAATTTTCCTATTCCTTCGTGTTTTCGGGGGAGCTGTGGTCTGGCAGGTCTCACACGTAGTCTGACGTTGAGCCGAGGGTGAGGCCCAAGGAACTTTGACACTTGCGAGTTGCTTGCAATTGTCAAACATTCGCTGCGTTGCGACAGATTGGCACTCCGGGGACCAGGCGGCATGGCCTTGATCCTTAAGATCCCTGACGCCCTCATTCTTGCAGTTGGGACACCTTTGCTTGATAGTTTTGCACGAGAATGTGCTATGTTCTTCAGCACATTTTCCGCATCGCTGAGAATTGGTGCACTGATCTTTAAAGTGACCAGGTTCGTAACAATGTACGCAGAAAAGTGGCACCGAGCGGATGTCAACAGCTCTGGATAGAACGAGCAGTTAGTGGTATGTCTCTCCCTCACGAAACCCAGCCAACATCTTGGAGATGACTTACTCAGCCGTAACCTTTGATCCGCTCAAGTAAACCCACTCATTGCACAGACGGAGAGCACCCTTCTCATCAGTCAGAGTCAACACAGTCCTTCCAAAAGTCCTCGCGCTGTGGACAATCTTGACCGAGTTTTCTTTCCCCCAAGCTTCATTCCGATTATGATTTTGCTCGAATTCGGCTCTCGACAGTCTTAGTCCGTGAATTTCGACGTAGTAGTTTTCAGGGACTTGTTCGAGTTCGCCAAGTTTGAGTTCTTGGCAGACAATGTTTGAACGGCTGTAAATATCCTGCACAGCTTTGTCGTCCTTGCAGAAGATTTTGAGCACGTTTCGATCGATGCGAGCACCCAAAACTGCATCCCAGCACGACTGTCCATGACCATGGACCCCGTCATCCGGAGCGTTGTTAATGGTCCCTCTGATCTGTTGCTGTGCGCTCCCTTTCGACTTGCGTTCGCGTGTTTGTATTCTAGACACAATCTCCATGATTTGGCTTGGCTGCAGGGCGGTTGCTGCCTCGAGGTACTCCGGATGTCCCTTCATCTTGAGCCTGACCGTGGGCGGCTCGCGCATGGCACGCGTTTCGATAGGCTTCAACTCTTTTCGAATAGTCTTCAGGATCTCTTCCATCCCCTGGGGGCCATGTTGGGAAGGTCCTTGGAGCTGGAGGAGTTCTCTGAGAAGTGGTATCGATGAGAGTTGGCTCTGGTAGAGATCCACCAGACTCTGCACGACGCTCATCGTGACTTCCTCCGTCTCAAGCAACGTTTGTAGCTCTTTTATCATGTGATTGAGATTCTCGGTCCGGGGTGGCTTCGTGGGCAGAGGGGTCTGGCATCGATACGAGGGCGCGAGGGCGGGTTGTGGCGGTCGAAAGGAAGTGGTCGAAGCTATCGAGATTGAAAAACGAAGAGGTCAGTCCCGTGCGAAGAAGAAGAAGAAGAAGAAGAAGAAGAAGAAGAAGAAGACGAAGAAACCGTGCAAACGTTGGCACGGCATTCTGTCACTTGCTAGAGATCAAAGAACTCACCTGCCGGGGAAGGGGTGTATAGTCGCTGTCTCTGAGAAAGGGGCTGGCCACGATCCGAGGCGGAGTCCGGCCTTGAACGCTTGTTTCTGCCCTCGAAAAGCTTTTGAACTAATCCGGCCATCTTCTATAGTTTGGTATCTCCCGCCAGAGATGTGTGTAGAATATCTCTGACAAATGCTCTTTTCAACGATTGAAGTGACGCAAAAGTTTTGAACGAAGTGGAAGAGGGGAAGGGGGAAAGTGGACGAAGCCCAGAAATCCTCCAAAGGGGGTATGTGAGTGAAAGTCCATTCCTACCGACTACTCAGACTCCAACAGCGTGGTATGTTGACCATAGAGGGCCGAAAAGACGATAGTGATATTTTCCCTGTCACCTTGCCTCTCTGCCAACCAATGGCGATGTCGTGATGATGACAGATTGTGCGAGAATTTGCCAGTTGTATCCGATGCGGTAAAGCTTGACTGGGCAATCTCAGCCCCCATCCTTGCAATTTGCAAGAGGAGAGAAAAGTAGCAAGAGGGTCCGCACCGAAGACGGAGGAGGCGTTCGGTTTTCCGGAAAGTCTGACCTTGCGAAGATTAATTATGGTGTCGTTGCTGCATACTTCGGAAATGAGAGAGAGAGAGAGAGAGAGAGAGAGAGAGAGTCACGGGTACTCTGGGAGAAAGTACCGCAAGTACATACAATGTCTGTGGAGGTTTGGAAAGAAAGAGGGGTGATGAGCCAGAACCCGTGACTGAAGGAGGTAGCTTTTCTTGCATAATGTAACTGTGCAATGTCAGCCGTCCCCGAGGATCGTCGTCGTTGTCGGGGTCACGGCGAATGAGTGAAAACTTTTCCTCTCTTTGAAATGAGGTGCGTACTCCTGTGGTATTCCGTATGTGGCTCAGCAATTACGGCTGGCAGCGGGCGAGCTGAAAGTTTGAGGGGACTCTGGCTCCACGGCTCGGGCAACCTGGCCCTCTTGTGGGCACTGATAAGGAATCCATGGAGTTTGGAATTATGGTCTAGACCCGAGGACCAAAAAGACCTGGTGAAACTGCGATGCTGTGACTGGGGAGACTTGTCACCTGACGACCTACCTCTGCGAGTCTCCATGCATTCAACGGCCTGTCCCTGTACGGATAAAGGTAAAGATCCCGGACGCAGAGGGTGCGGAGTATGGTCTACCTGAGGTATGCATGAGAGGGATCCAGGGGAGGCTATCTAAACTCAAACACCTCGGTTGCTAGACTGTTGGTGTGCCAATTGTGTGGTGCTCGAGCAGATTAGGGAAGGCTCCATTATGAGTAGATCAACTACGGTGTCAGAATTTTCATCTGTTGTCAGACCCTTCACCGGCATCATTTCCCAAGCCCAGAGGCTAGAACCGGGCTAAGGTACTGGTTCTCTGGATCGTGGCCTGTGTCGCGGTCCGTGGACCATGCATGTCCGCAGGTGGTATTCGTACACTATGTAGCATTCAAAAATATAATCATGTCAGAAAGAATCAGGGAGTGGGGAGCGCACGACGGACGCGCCACGCGTGACGCCGGACTGAACTCTCCTCCTCCAGAATCAGAAGTATCATTGGCTTTACGAGAAACTCCCCATCCGCACCTTGCAGTCGCACCATACAGCATCAGCTGATCTATCGAAACCTTGTGTTGCTTATGATGGGACCCGGACGACGACGACGATTCGAGAGTGTCAATTGGACTCTATCTCGGTGTATCATCTACGACCTGCGTGGTGGGAAAAGAAAAGGACAGGATCCAACTCCGAACCTTCTGTCTGCCGAGCTGCCCCGTTCCAAGATGAGCGGTGGCCTAGGTACCTACCTACCTAGATAAGGTACTCCGTAGACGCCGGTCTCTACCTCAAGGTATATCACACACGCACACTCGTCGTCGATTCCGTCTTCCAATCTTCCATTGTTTTCTACATGTCTCCCATCTTTATCGCTTCCAACTCCATTGATTCATTCCATCATCATCTTTTCAACATGCACCTTAGCCGAACATCGAAGAACCGTTTGGCATCTTGTCTTTTTTCTTCTCTCTTTTTCTCCTGGCGAGCCATTCTCTTCTCGCCCGTGGCTTCATACTTCAAAGACGCCAACCATTGCGTTGGTGCTGAAGTGTAGGCCATGGGTGCCAGCTCGAGTTGCTTGAACGGCGAGATTGAAGGGGCCCTCGTCATTTGGCAGATCAACCTGAAAGCTAGCAGAATCCGTGCGAAATATCTTGTCAACCTTACCAAAAACAAGTACCCGAATGGACCACCTCATGTCATTGCCATTCAAGATCCTCCAAAGGAACTTCCATGGATTTCCACCGGGAACTACAAACCGGTGTACCGAACAGCTCGAACGCTACGCGAGGAAGACCATCCATACATACCGTGTAAGCCAACCAAGAAGGCCAAATACGAGCAACGACAGCTTGTGGATCTTGATCCAGTGGCCTTCTTGGTGTTGGACACGATTCCTGTCGGACATTGGCATCCAACTTTTCACGAGGACCTAGACGCCGACCCCCGGGACTTTCAGGACCGCCTCGACCGCCTCGACCCCCCGATGCCGCGACACGAAGACGCTTTCGCTGCGACCTTGGCCCTTTCAACCTTGGCTGGTCCCATAAACATTCACAACGTTTACAATCGCCAGACGAAAATCAATATCGACAGGCTTTTGGCCACGTGCACCTTGGGCCAGGACAACCTCCTCCTCGGCGATTTCAACCTACATCACCCCCGCTGGTCCCGCATACCCTTTGTCGGACCTATAACCTCTGACGCTCGGAGTCTCTTTCACGGGACTGAACAGGCCGGCATGGAATGCATCACTGAGCCTGGCGCCATGACGTACAGCCGAGGTAGCGACAAGGAAAAACACACCTCTACCATCGACCTGGCATTTCTCAGCCAAAGGTTACTGCATCGTTTTACAGATTGGAGCATCTTGGAAGGGGGTAACTTCGATTCAGATCATCGAATCATTCAGACCACTCTACTCATGGAGCCCGATCGAACGTCCAGCGATCGCTACCTCTGGGGCAAGGCTGACGTTGCCGGGTTTCGTGCTCATGTAGAGCGTGAGCTGGCCAACTCGGGCTTGCTGGACACGGCACTTATGAGCAAACCCGACATCAATGCTTATTTCTCCAAGTTCAACGACATCATTCGACTCGCCATCCCTTTGCATGTTCCCCTCGCCAAGCATCCCGTCATCCGCCGCTCAGCCAAGCCGCCACCTTTGAGGGACAAGCAACATCCAAATTTTGAGCAACAGGCTTCGACTCGGCTGGGCACCGATCTAGATGCGGAGCACGACTTTGACTCTTTTTGCCGGCGCCTCGAACAGCAAACCAGGACGGAAAAGACGAAAAAGTGGCGGACCATGCTTTCTGGCGAAGGCGACGACTCCCCAACTATCCACAAGCGTGCCAAGATAGGCGCCTTCTTGAGCAAACCTCGCGTCTCCGGTCAGATACCCTTCCTCGTCGGCTCAGACAAGACCAAGTGCACAAGCCTCGAGGAGAATGCCCAGTGCCTCCGGAAATCAGTGTGGCCTAATACCAGCCAAGGGCCCACAGCACCCCCTCTTCAACTTCCCGACCTCGACCCTCTACAACCCCAGCTCTTTGCCGACCAAGTTGTCTCTGATGACGATGTCAAAGCTGTCTTGTCAGGCCTCACCCGCGGTAAGGCTGCCGGGCCAGATGGAGTTTCGCCAGACGCCCTGAAGATGCTCTACCACCCTTTTGACGAGCTTCCCGACGAGGCTGTCTACGGCGGAGGCTATGAAGCTCTCCGAGACAGCGTGAACAGCATCATCCATCCTTACATCAAACGTGGAGCGCAGGCCTGTCTGTTACACTCGTACCACCCGGACGCTTTCAAACCCTCGATTACGGTCATCTTGCCCAAACTCAACAAAGACGACTATACAAGCCCGAAAGCCTACCGCCCAGTGGCTCTGCTGTCCGTCGTCGGCAAGCTGATTGAGAGGATTGTTGCAAACCGTCTCAAGAAACTGGCCTTAGAGCACAGCGACTTGATACCCTCGACGCAGTTCGGTCTACCCGGCAAGTCCACGACCAAGGCACTGGAGCACCTCGTCAATTTGGTGCAGCAGTGTTGGTCCCCTGTCGGCCGTGCCAAGTTGAAGGCCACGTTGATGACGATCGACATTACGGGCGCGTACGATCACGTCAGACGATTCGAACTGCTAAAGATCCTTCGCCAGAAGGGCGTTCCCGATTGGATTGTGCGGTTTGTCTGGTCGTTCCTCAGTGATCGCAAGACCGTCCTCAAACTCCCCGGACACACCTCTGAAGAGTTTTGGGTCGATATTGGCATTCCCCAAGGTAGCCCTCTGTCCCCCATCCTCTTTCTCTTCTTTTCCAGCCCCATTCTAGAGGCTCTTCAGGTCTCTTGTCCGTTCGCAAGTTTTGCGCTGGCCATGTCTTACGTTGACGACACCAACATTCTCGTCACGTCTCCTTCGGAAGCTCGAAACTGTGAAGCATTGAAGTTCCTCTACGACAACTTGGTGCGCTGGGCATCGCCCAACGGCATCTTCTTCGGGCCTCACAAGACATTCGTCATGCATTTCAGGAAATCCGGTAGTCATGGGCCGCCAAGCACCGAGCTTCCCGATATTCCCGGCCTCTCCAAGAACTGTCTGCAGACAGAGCTTCTTTTGCTCGGGGTTGTTGTGGATTCGAAACTCACATGGGCAGCACACATTGAACAAGTAAGTCACGCCTTTCAATTTTCATTTGCCTTCGTTTTCTTTTTTTGCTCCCTCGTGGCTGACCGTTTTGTCGACAGGTCATTACCAAAGTCAGGAGGAAGATGATCCATCTTCGCAGAATATCTGGATCGACTTGGGGGCCATCATTGCACGAGATGAAGAAGCTTTACGTCAGCTCGGTTCTTCCCATCTTCTCATACGCTTGCCCCGTTTGGTTCGTCGACGGTCGAGGCCAGAAGATCCGAGGCCAGTTGACAAAGACGTTGGTCCAATCTCTCGACGCGGAACAGGCGCGGTTTCTGCGATTCATTGCAGGTGGATTCGAGGCCTCTGCCTCGGAAGTTGTCCACAAGGAGCTGCACATGATTCAGCTTTCGGTCTATCTTGAACAACTTGCTCTCAGGCACCGGATCAACAACCTCTATTCACCAGAGTATCGGGACCTCGAGGCAATGTGGGACAATGTCTTTACAGACATTGCAACGGAGCAGGAGTTGGGCGCTCATCCCTACAAAGCCCTCTACGGCCAGGCGGAATCCTTGTGGCTCGAGATGCGCGAGAGGGTTCTGGATAAGCAGCTTTGCCGAGCGAACTGGAACCCCGAGCAAGCCGTGCAGTCAGAAGCCGAGGGCTGGGCCGATCCCAAGCGCCGCAAGGCCATCATCAAGGCCTACCTGAAGGACATCTCTATGGAGAGGAGCAGTCTAGCGTGGGATCGATACAGAAACGACCGAAGCGGCAAGGTCCGCAACATCAACCGCAACACTCCGGCTCTCAAGGAAAACTGGGGCCCAGAGAGTCTCAAGTACTATCAAGGGCTCACGCGTGCTCAGAGTAGCATGTTGTTCCAATGCCGCAGTGGGGTGATAGGGTTGAACGGCTATCTCTTTTCGCTTAAGGCGAACGTGAGTCATTTTATTCTTCTTCCTCTTCCTCTGCATCTTTCTCTGCCTCTTCACCGGGCCCATCTTCTTTTACGCTATGAGTCTAACTTCTCGTCTTTACTGCAGTTGGTTGAGACACACCGATGTCGCTGTGGTCATCCGATGCAGACGGCCGGACATCTCTTTGCCCATTGCAAACAGCTCACCTTCGAACGCAGTCGCTTGCGTAAGCATGTCGGCGTAATCAACTTCGATTTGCTGGTCACAACCGAGGCCAACGTAGCCACGGCGTGGGCGATTCGCCATTTCGACATCGCTCAGTTCAGGTGGACGGGCAAACACATGCCGCTTCCCTGCTGATTACGGCCCGCAGCTTCCCACCAACCGCACCCACCATTTTTCGGAGGCAAGCTTCCTTTTTGTCTTTCCTTCTCTCGTCTTGTTGTGCCCTCCATTCTTTCCAGACGTCGACCACACGTCTATGCATCTCATTGCGCCGTACCTTCTTTGGTCTCGGATCTAGTGTACCCAAGACTGCTACTAATGCCTCGTCGCATCATTGTTTCCCCCGTCCTCCCCCTGGACTCTTCGCCCTGGTTTTCTCCTTTGTCTTCTGTTCCGGGTCGGTGCCACGGCATTCCTGTCCAACCTGTCAGCCTACCTCGCCTTTGTACAGTAGCACACCTTAGCCCAGACTTTCAATTCAATCCCCTTTTGCCCTCACCCCCCGACGGAGCAATCCGCCGGGGCCGTACCGTGTATTACGTATTGGGGTGAGATCTTCGGTGACCTTGCAGTCCTTGCATTCCATGATCGCCTCACTGACCTGTTATGAATCTAGGAAAACTGGGTATATTGCGCTCCATACCTAACTACTAATCAAAAGTAAGTGGACCTCCCCAGCGTTGCTTTGTGCTTTCATGACGCGAGCCGTTTGACTGACTGGCGGACCGAGCCGCAGCAGCAGTCAACCGACTCGACCATTGTCTCCCTTTCATCAAGTACGCGGCCTGCTCGTCCCTTGCGTTGCTCTACTATGCTAACAGTCGTATTGAAGCAGCTCCCAACCTTCCGCCGCGTGAGTATGCCCGCCCTGTCCTTTCTCTTCCATACGAGGCATCAGTAACAGGTCTGACAGAGTCCTCCCAAGTTCCAGCCGCCTACAGGGCGAGCTTCACCCACTCCAACGCGCACAGGACCTCCTGGTGCCAGCCCGCGTGGGCAGCCAGGTCCAGCATAATCTGTTCTTTTATATGGGTATTATCGTTACCCGGGGGGTCCCGTAGGAGCCGTCTGAGGCGCCGGCTTATCGCCCTGACCCTGTACACCTCCGGCCCGTCCATCGTGGCCATTATGGCCAGGCCGGCGTCGATGTGCCGGATCCTGGCATCCGTACCGGCCCGGCTGTCCACGGCGCCTGTGATGTCGCCCAGCCGAATTCCGCACCCCCGGAAGGTACTTCGCCACTTCTTGGGCGTGCCCACGTTGGCCACGATGGCCACAGCGTCGAGCTGGCCGGTAAGTTCTTTCTGAAGACTTTTTGTTCCTTGGTCGGGAAGAACCCCTCTGCAAATGAACCCTGCTGACCAGACTGTGTTAGAAGAGGGCGCCCAGCCCGAGAGGGGCAGACTTGTCGACGGGCATCTTTGGGTGAGGCATGCCGCTTTCTTGTCCCCCGTACTCATAAATGCCACTGACACTCTTCCGAGAGAGTTCTAGCCCACTGATTGCTGACTGTATGCTGGGAGGTATTGCTCTCTTTCATTCTATTTTTGGATGAGCAAAGCTAACCATGATTTAGTAGAGTAGGTTCTCGTCGAGGTGGTATTTTGACTGGCCAACCTCTTGACTGGTTGTCTGACTAGCTGTCCAGGTGGTGGTTTGTGTATTGATGGGTTTGTTTGGTGGATTTGTTTGGTGGATTTG